TTTTAATCAATAATAAAAATCTTTATTATACAATAAAATAGATTATCTCCTAATTATTTTAAAGAAATATATAATTCAGACCCTCTTTCATAAACTAGTGTACTGAAAACTTTAGAGAAAATGTATAAATTTGGAAAATATTTTTCAATTTCATTCATGGTTTTGCGACTACCCTATACGTATATATCATTCCATACAATAATTAAAAAACTTATCGTGAATAAACATGTTTTTTTGTAAAATTTAGATACAAAAAATCTATGACTATATCATTCTTTTCTTTTCTTTTTTTTTAAATTTCTATTTTGCCTTTATTATAACTTAGTACATAGATTTTATTATTCTCTATTGATTTTTTCGTAGAATTTAGGATAAAAAACAAAGAATAAATAAGAACAAATACACATTTATGTAGTAATGTATAAGACTTTTTGTATAAGGTTGGCATTCCTCATCATAGAAATATATGCATTGCATTTAAAATTCTCTATGAGAAAATATTCAATTTTAATAAGAAGAGCTTATACATCCAAAGTAAATTTGAAAGCTGATTTTACTACTGCCAGAAGGTAATTTTTGAAAACCTATTTCGCGTAAAGCATCTGGTGATTGAAATTTTGCCTTAAAAGGTCCCTTACATACACACACATACGCGCGCGCGCGACTTTAAGCACACAATCATTTTGTGTGTGTGTTTGTATTATATATTATATTATATTGTATTATATATTATATATATTATATATATAATATATTATATTGTATTATATATATATATATATATGTGTGTGTGTGTGTGTGTGCTTGTGTGTGTCTGTAAGGTCGAAATACAGTAAATCATCGCGAAATATTGCCACTATAGCCGTTCTTTCGAAAGAAATCACACGGATGGTAGACTCACGTAGCCTCACTTATCGTACGCTTAACACAAGCCGGTCATTTAACCGTGACCAGGTTTCTCGTGAGCGCGAATTTCGAAACACTGGACTCGAGCATTTCTTTTTATTATTTCCTTCCGATATGCTCAATCGACTCCTCGTGTAGAAGTATTTTACTTTCTAATGTCATTTGAGCTGACAGCCAAGTTAATTAATGATTATGTGCTCAAAACCATTCGCAAAATAATGAATTATTAAATAATGACCGTCCTCATAAACATTATAGATTGTTTTGTTTTAACATTATAGTAATAATCATAATAAAATTATAATTATCATATGATGAGCAAATTTCGAGCGTATAAGTTATAATTCAATGGTAGATAATTCACATTCTTCGATCAAGTATTTTTCACCAATGATGCCTTTTAGGCGTTTGTAGCGATTGATAATGATTTTTTATTACGTTAATTGAAATTGTAACTGAATAATAAATAATGTAGCTATTCATTCAACTAATTATTTAATTAGGGAATCGTTTTAGAAGATCTTACACATAATATTAATTGATCAATAATTTCTATTTAATGAATAATTATATTAAAAATAGAAAGAATTTCAGTAATGACGGTAGTCATTTAATATAAGTAATTAAATCAATAAAATAAAACTAAAATAATATTTAAGCGAATAACATCAATATTTTATAATTACATAAGCATAATTTTATTTGCCATGCCGATAATATTTTCTTATATTTTTTTCTCCATTCAATGCACAACTAGTACGTATAAATTCACATTGTAAAAAGTGCTAAGTATATTTGATATCGTTTGTGTTTATTAATCGAACAAGTTTATATTCTACAAAAAATTAATCGAAAATTTTTTTTATAATAAAAAATTGTAATTGTATCTTAGAAATTACGTTAAATATCTATGCAATGAAGTTTCAGGTAATATGAACGCTATTATCAATTTGTAATTATAGTTTATTAAACAATACTAATTAAATGAAAAAATAATTACGGAGTAGAGCATAATTGACTGAGAATTTAATTAAAAAATATGCATAGATGTATGATTCAATAGCATTTGAATATACTTACGTAGAAGGACTCGTTCAGCCCATAAAATATTAAAATAGATTTTGTCAAAAACTTCTAAAATGGAAACTAGAAATAAACATTAAGTAACAGGAATTACCATTTAGAAACAATTTTTAAATGGCATTGTTTCAAATGAATTGCGACTTTTAATTCTTCTAATTGTCATTTAAAGTGTGATTCCTTAAATTAAAATTCACTTACTCCATTCAATAAGTGTAATACCTTTTCTTTTAATGACGTATATTAATATTTTTTTCTCCTCTCTCGTACGTTTTTCCTATAAATTTTCGACATCGCATGACGTTAAGTTAACATCATACTTCGACGATAATTTTACAATATATCATTATTAATTATATGCAGTGCTCAAGACCCTGAAAGATTATTTCAGACTGTTTGACTCTTCGATTACCATTATCATTCAATGAAAGACTTTGTTATGGATGCGCTCAATTCGATATGCGCAACTTATGCGTCCGAGTTTAACGCATGTCGTAGAAAGTTAACACGCTTTCCACAATTGATGTGCTCACGGAGCCTTAAAATGTCTCTACCTCTCTCTCTCTCTCTCTCTCTCTCTCTTTCTCTCTCTCTCTCCATCTCCCTCTCCCTCTTTAATCACAGATTAAAAACATTCTGGAATAAGCGAATTAGAACGTAATCTAAAGTAGAATTTTTTGCTCTCGAGGCAACAGACACGTAAACATGTTCACTGAACCATCGCCGTCTGATAAGATTTGTTTTCGTGAATCACGCGTATTACTTTCGTTCTTTTCTTGCGTTTATTCTTAATGGATTTCCGCTTTTATTACGATGGCTTCTTAGGCATTTATATATACTGCGTCGATAAATATCTATTTTTAACGCATTAAAAGTCAAAGTGACGGAAGAAAAAAAAACGCTGTAGCGTGTCTGAGAGAAATTAATATAATTACGTTTTACCTTAATCTTTTGTTTTTCGTTTTTTCTTGTTTTCTTTAAAAATATTATGATTTTTTTGATAAGAATACGAGATTATCATAATAAGTGCAAAAAAAAAACAAAAAAAGCCATGTAGCATAAGCCGTTGTTCAATGCTTAGTCTAAGACAATATTTTCACAGATAAGCAGAAATATGAACTGATTTCTCTTAACGGTGGAGCATGAAACTGCAGTGTGGAACCAACGAGATATAGAAAGTGTTCGTTGCAGACTTCATTATCTTATTATTCGAGTGGTAAATAAAAGAAAATCGATCGCGTATACATTGTGTAATGAAATTTCTATTTCAAGACGCTACGCACAATAATTAGTTCTATTTGCATACGCGAAAATGCTTTTAATATTGCATTTGCTTGCAATAAGTGAAAATATATGACTAAAATTAGTAACGCGCCTAACAATATGTAAATGTATGCTTTAGATGCAATGCCAAGATTTATATTTGTAGTAATATCGTGTGGTCGGTGAAATGATAATTTACATTCATTTTTATGAAGAATAGAAATTTATATGACCCTGTAAAATTTATGTTCTAACAGAATTTCTGATATGATTTAAAATATTATTAAGCTAATTAAAAATAAAATTTTTTCTTTAAGTTTTGTTAAATCTAGTAATTAAAATTTTAATATTATTTTTATTTTAATCTATTTTATAATAATGAAAAAGAAAGTTAACCCTGTTACATTTACCATTATTATAATATTCATCATTCTTGTCGTAATTTTATTTTCATTTGTCATAATTAAGTATAATTTATACGTACAAATTTTATATGATTTTAAAAGAGCAATTTCATTTATTAAAGGTGAGACCTAACAGTTTATATATATATATGTTTAAAGTAAGATTTATTTATAATAAATATACGAAAACATAATGAATGAACAAACGAAAACTAATGACATGTGCCAATTTAATAAAATAGGTTATTTTACAGCGGCTATGTGATAAATTTTCATTTTCATTTTCATGCTTTAGTAATGAAATCAAAGTGACATACGCAGCCACGTTTATAAAAACGAGCATTTCTCTTGAGTCAAGATGTTCTTTACCACTCGTTTCACTAAAACAATTCTTATGAGTTCTAGGTCGCGGGTAAAATGTGTATATAAACCCCAAGACTAATTTAAAATTAGAAATTTTAATGCGAATGCTGGGTTTCGAAAGCTTTAGAGAGACTTATGAAAATCCTTTGACAATTTAACGTTTATAAAGGAGATATATAGAGATACATTTATTATATCGGTTAAACTTTATTTTTTATAGCAATCAAATTAACATTACGATCGTGCAAGGCACATTATAAGCGAGCGATTTTACTTCACTTTTTCTGGGTTGGGAAAGCAAAAATATGATATTCCTATATGTATCAAATGAAATCTAATCTCTCAAGATTAAGGTATAAATCAACTTCTATATGAAAGTATATTTTTAATACAATATATCTAATACGGCACTTATATAACTACAATTATTTATATTTCTATAAGACCAATATAAAGCAAGTTTTATAATACTGACAATAAATTATAAGAAGCATATTTTCATTAATCGATCTAATTTTAAATAGTGGCTCATTATCTTATCTAATCGTTTACTAATCGAATGATTTTGTCATTTGAGATCAACGACGTAAGTTAAATTATTGGAGCGATATTACGTTTCACTACTTTCCATTTCATCACTCAAAAGCATATCAACCAATTTAAGCATTATTATTTCATTGCAGCATTGGCAAGAAAAACAAATATCGGACGCTGAAACTCCAATCACACAAATTATTTGGTTATTTTCGATTCAGCAAGCAAATTATAAATATCCATACAACTCGGTAATCAATGAGCTATTTATCTAACGTATTATTGGTTTGACCTATTAAAGTCTCAAGAATACGCGTAAGCTCGAAAAGCACGCCACCATCGTTTCATTCTCATTCCTAAGGAAAATTCGCCATTAACAAGCGAAAATAATTAATCGTCCCTCTCTCACATCCTCCCAACCCATCCGCCACTCTCTCTCTCTCTCTCTCTATCTCTCTCTCTCTGTCTCTTGGATCAGCGATACAGCCCTTGTAAAATGTATTGGCTGTGGCTGGCGCTGTGCTTGGCCTCGGCAGCCGTCGGCCAGTACGACGGCATCGAGCCGCGATCCGTCGCCTACCCGAGTAAATCCAACCTCGGGCCCCTCTACAGCAGCTTCAGCGGCCCAGCCGGTTACCGCGACAATAGCTACGAGGACAATGCCGTGACGCCGACGCCTTCCCCGACACCCATTTATCGCAATTCCGGCTCGGCACAGCAGGTGAGCTCTCGCTTGAAGGTACGAAGGCGCGAAACACTCGGGGGAGCCTCACTCGCTCGATTTTCCCCTACAACGTTACAGTCGATAACCTATGGTATCGGTGTCTTGCTGGACCTTTATTTAATTCCGCATCCTCGCACGATTCGCTTTTGTATTGAAAATAGGATGCCAGCCGAGAAGAGAAATATTGCCTGCGATGTACGGGAGTTAGCGTGTAAAAGAATCTCATTTTCAAAGTAATTCCTCATGCAATCGTGAGCATTATGCGGACGTGGTTCATTTTTCATCCTTCTTTTATATAAAAACGAACAAAATATAAAGTCTTTAAGTCTTTTTGAATAATCTTGCAGTTAATTGATTGTTTCATTCTTAAACGCGGAGCATTGGCTATTACAATCTGCCGTTGCTTTATTGCAATGACTTGTCATTTTTATTCCGTGCACTGCGCTTATCATCGACGATATGCAAATGCAGTTTTTATGTATATTGGTAAGCTCGATGTTGCGAAAATGCCAATGCGCTAACTGAATTTATTCGATAATTATAGCTCTATAGAAAGCCATCGGCTTCGATCGACGCATCTCGCGAGTTCCAACATCAAACACCCGTGAGAATTTCTCAACAGCGTGGCCCGATTCGTGTGGGGCCTCAGCAATTCTCGAAGAATGGTCAGGTAAAACATAAAGTAAACACCTTGGCATTATCTTATAAGCTGCTTTTCCCATACATCAAAGATGTAAAAAAAGCAAAAAAAGGAAAATAAATTTTACATTATTATCATGATTGAAGCTCGAAGAAGAATTAGAAGAGGAGAAGGACGAGCCTGATCGTCTGAGCCTTTTGTTGCCCCAAAGTAAGTTTGACTGTGTTGGAAAACAAACGGGTTATTATGCTGACGAGGAACTTAATTGCGAGGTATTCCACTACTGCCAAGACAATGCCAAGCACTCGTGGATTTGCCCCGAGGGATTCACTTTCCATCAGGTAAGATCAATAATAGGATTGCGAGTTATCGGCTCAGTGATAGTTACAATACACACGTAATTGTTTCGATATGTTATTTATTTTTCAATCCATTGTGCAATAATAAGCTTTTTAAAAGTGCGTCCATGAACATTCAAACGATATAGATGTTTAGTATTATAAATATTAAAAATTAATCAAAGCTATTAATTCAGAAGCTTTCCTCTGTCAGATTAATTATTCGCAACGGCTTTACCGATCAAGCATCCGCTTGGCTTCAATTAAACAAAATGTTTAAGTAAATAATAAGTAAATAATGTTTAAGTAAATATGATATTATTGTAAACGTACATTTACACACTTTAACTTTAATGTTAAATATAATTTAGGTGCATTTAATTTGTATGCCGCCAAATGGAGATATTACGTGTAAGAAGAGCTCACAGTATCACTTCGTTAATGAATATCTTTACAAGCCTTTGAACCTTGACGAGGCTGAGAACAAACCCAATGTTACTTTAAGATACAGTGAAAGATACTTCCCCTCTGACATTTACACGGATGAGCGAGAAAACAACGAATACCGCGCAAGTTCGTCAGTTCCTGCTCGACGACCTGTAAGTTCACTAAAAAGTATTCCATTAATTTTTTTATTTAAAATTAGCATTCATTTCACGTAAAACTGATATAAAATTCCATGCATTGAAGTATAATCTTAAAAGTTCAAATTTTTTAATTCTATTCTTTTAAGTCATATTTAGTAGACAAAATTGATAAAAGAATTGAAAATGAATAAGTGAAAGTTTTTTTAATTTTACTGAATTTAAAAATAAGAAAAAACATGCTGCCTATACAATGAAGTAGATCATGTATTTTAAAATTGAGCAACTATACAATAGTGAATATTATAATACAATATTAATATTCATAATATTAATATTGTTTAATTATATTAATATTTGCTGTGATAATGTATTCATTCAAATTTTTTCAAACAATGTATGCATGTACAATATATATAAATATGAATTAATAATTGATGATTTGAAACTACATGGTTATATTTTTTATTTATTTAGGTATGCTATTCTTTTGATAAATTAAAATTTCAAATTTATTCGCATAATTATTATAAATATATTCATTTTATTTTACGTAAACCGTTTGAAAAAATTTGAACAAACACTTTACCCAATGCGTATAAGGAAAACATAAATCATCTAGTAATTACAATTTTATTATAATTTTAATAATTCTATAGTAAAAATTTATTTATATTTAAAATATTTATTTTGATACGACTGTACAATTAAATGATAAATCTATTATTCCTACTAAAATTATTTACAACTTCATCCCTATTACTTTATATCTATATAAATTTTAAGTTTTGTTAATGAATCAGATTAAAGAAAATTGGAATATTTTATTATATGTATTACATTATTACCGTTAAAAATATTATATTAGAAATGAAATATTATATTTTTTATGAATTATTTTTAATTAATTAATAATTGAAAAAATTACAATATATTATTCATTTTATTAATAATGAGGATGTAAATTAAAAAAAATTTTTTTTTTGCAAATATTCACTAAATAATTTCATAATAAGTATTTTAGATACAAATTTATTATTCCTGTGAAATGTTCGGTAAAATTCAGAGAAATCATTCTTCACTTCATTTTTCACGTCATTTTGTAAGAGAAAATGTTTTTTCAAATAAACATTTTGTATTCTAAATAACAGAACGGAAAAAATCTAAAAGAAGTACTCCAACAAACATCTCACTGATTATAATTCTTCTAGATATATATTTTGAAACTTCTTTTCTCGCGAGAACATTCATTTATCACTTTACCACAGTGTATTTGCCTGTGTATCTTACAGCACACATAATAATAATAATAATAATAATAATAATAATAATAATAATAATAATAAAAATATGCGTTAGCTAAAGCATTTTTACTGTTCCTCATCAATCATGAAGAAATAAAATTTCATTTTTTCTTTTCTGTTTTACGATATACCGAAGGTGAATGTGCGTATGTTGTTTTAAGAAAATAAGGTTAATTTTATTTATACGCCCGCTAGTGACAAAGTATTTCACTAAAGTAAAATCTATGATAATTTCAAATTAATACCCTACTTTCAAGGTCTGTCGTTAAATATTCATATATCGTGTAAAAATTTCAATTTAAAAGTTAGAGTTATCACATATATCACATATATCACATATATTATATATTACTCTACATTACGTTTATGCAATATTGTATTCACCCCCTCACTCTTGTAAATTATTAAAATGGACATTCTTTTTATAACGAAGCGAAGAAAGTAAAATATCCGAGCATCTTGCATGCATCTTTTCAAATTATTTACCAAGAATTAATAATATGCAAAATGCTATTCACTATTGTGTGCTAAATAGTTGTGCTTGGTATGCAAAAGCATTCGAGCGCTTCGTACAAAATCACTGCATAATGTATAGTTTAAATTTATTTAGAGTAGAAGGAGAATGAATAGGTAAATAAAAATACAAATCCCAACAAATTAAGAAAACGAGGAAACAATAAAACAATCAATAATCAAGCATTCTAAAGTCGAGTCAGAAGAGGTTCTTCATAAATAACGACATTATCTTGACAGCAACTATTCATTTGCTTTATAACGTAGGTGTACCTTGCCCAGCAACCCATACCCACGATCAACAGCCTGCCGACCGGAGGCCGTCCGCAGCCTTCGCCTTCGACGACTCAGTACCGGATTCCCGTGAATCAAGTGTTCCGCAGTCCTGAAGAAGTCAATATACCGCTCCAGCAAAGACGGCCCCAGCTTCAATCACCTCAGGGTTTAAGAAGGTTCCCCCAGGTCAGACCCGACGAGGAGGATTACGAGTAGACTCGTATGCACCGCGCATTGTAAAGAATTGAGATGTAACATCCTTTCTTGGGTCTTTTGCGGATAAGAAGAGGCCCTTCACGAACCTGCAGGTGGCCTGAAAAAATTTTCTCGATAACCACATTTTTTAATTCGCTCTTTTCAAAAAAAAAAACGAATGGAATTTTATATTATTGTCATTGTTATTATTTTTGTGCTTCTTGGCACTTTACGTTATACTCGTTTCGTCTAAATTCAATTTCACGTTACTGTTTTAAGTATCGATTCTCCGAGTCCACAATAAAATTTCACCGCATATTATACTATTGCTCAAATTCATTTTGATTAAATGAAGTTTAACGCAAAATATTGTTGACAACTACGTAATCAATTCTAATGACATTTATTAAAACTGAAATTTAGAAGTTTTATTAAACTCATGTGAAAATAATGTTATACATCGAAATTTAATATTTATATATATATAAAAAAAAAAAAAAAAAAAAAATTGTTCCACACGAGATTAATCACCGTTGAAATTTTTATTTGTGGATTATGCAGTATTCTTATAAAACTGGTTATTATAGATTTTTTTTCAGTATCTACGATCATCTTGATATTGCTATGGCCATATCAATTTCAATCTGCAAATCATTTACATTCTATCATCCCTAAATTAGATGTCTAATTTTTGTATGCAATATTATTTAAGTGTTTATTATTAAGAATTCGCAAATAGTTTAAAAACGAGAATGTGAAACTTGGAAAAGCGAGGCCAGTCGCAATGGATTTTACAATTTGCAGCATTTTGCGAACTGATAAAAGACAAGACGACGAATAACGCATAATTGTATATATATACTGTATTGTAATCGTTAGCGGAAACTGAGTAAATGAAAATACAAGTGATATTCAAATGTAATCTTAAAATATATCAATCGCCCTATACATATACTTTATATTTAAAATCTTATAAAAATATGGATAAATAAATTGTTATTCTGTTTTTTAACAATTAATTGCATTATCTGTAATTGTTTTATTTGGATTATCTACTATCACTTTCCTACAATTACGTAAGTTAATTTATACATATCTATAAAAATAAATTATATAATATATATATATATATATATATATATATATATATATATAATGTAATAACTGTTAGCATATCTATAAGTTGTGTATATTTGAAAATTTTCAAATATTTTAAACGAACCGAAATTATAAAAAAATACTGCTTTTTAAAATTATATATATATATACTTTATGGAAAATTGTTTTTATTTAATGTTAACATAATTAAATAATTTTAAACAGTTTGTAATATTTTAACGGTACAGTTTCAGTAAGCATAATAATTTTATTAGTACATATTCTTAGTAATCTACAAGTTGCAAAGTTTTGTATTTATATTTGGTACAATTTCAACTCACTATTGTACCATTTGCTTTAGTACTATTTGCAAATTAATTAAAAGTTTATTTTTAATTAGAATTTCTCGACTGAATATCTAATCAAACTGAATTTATTCATCGCAATAATAATGATAACATTATTATTTAGCTATTGAAGAAGTATATATGTATATTATAATGATGTTTAAAAATGAAAAAAATTATATATTATTCTATGTTCATGTCGATATATCTAATGGCTTTCAAGAACTCAAATTTTCGTATTAATATCAAAAAGTAATTGTATTTCAATTATTTTGTCTAGAAAGTTAAACTTTAGGACGAAAGCTTTTAAGATAAATAGTATGAACAGTTATTAATGCACATATTGACTCTTGATACAGTAATCGCCAACATCAATGCTTACTTTTATTGTTAATCGATCCCGACAAATACAATGCATAATTTCAACACATTAAAAAATCCACTGAATACCCATGGGAAATTATATTTTAAAAATCCTTTCAATCTACAAGATCTTAGGAATTACCCAGTCCTCGATAAAGCCAGAGACATTAAATATTTCGTACGACTTGTGAGCATCTCAATGGAGCTTAACCTCCTAAAGCCAAACTTTCGAATGTTGGCGCAACGGATATAGCAATAGCGCCATCTTCTTTTATCGATAACGACACATTAAAAATAAAAGTACATTTGGAAAACTCTGCGCAGTCGCGCAACTTACATATTTTACGCGATGCTCAACTCGGCGGCCTTTTAGATGTTAGAATCGCCGCAAGCGGTAATATGGCGGCGGTTGTTACGGATGATGTTTCTCGTATCCACAGGCGTTCCTTTATTTCCGCCCTTTAACTTCGCCTCCTCGCGATCGGATTAATCAATAAACTGCGAGCGGTAACTCCCGTGTGTATTGCACGCTACCTCGACGACGCCGAGAATCTTCTTCGCTCATAATCGCCGTTACCAAACGACGCGCCCTGAGCAGTTTGTTTAAAGCGTGCGATTGATGCTCTGTGCGCGCCATCCTTTTCCTCCTTACGAGAAAAGACGTCGTCGTGAGTAATCATGGCTGCGGCTGCGGCAGCTGCTCTGCTCGACGAACTCATGGGTAGGAATCGCAACGTCCTGCCCAACGAGAAGCCGAAGGAGCTCAATTGGGAGGATCCTGAGGTAAGAGCCGAGCGACATGTTTATCCGTACGAACGTCCGTTGCCTTGGCTTTGTCAAATTAGTGTAATAAATCCTATCTCTCCACTCCACTCCCTTCCCTATCCCCTTACCGCCCCACCCACCACACACCGCAACGACGATGATGATGATGTGTGATGTGATGTAATGTAATAGATGTGACTTATGTCTGGATGCCTACTCTTGGTTGCGGTCCATGTTTAATACTCTGTTTTTATTTTAGTTTTGCAAATTGTACCTTGTCAAGTTCTGTCCACATGACTTGTTTGTTAATACGAGGGCAGACTTGGGAGCATGTGCAAGAGTGCACGACGACGAAGCAAGAGACCTCTTTGAGAAGGCTCCGTATAATTATCGTAAGCAACAGTACGAGGATGAGTTTATTAGATTTTGCCAAACCATGCTTAGCGAAGTGGATAGGAAAATTATCAAGGGTAAACAGCGTCTGGCACTAATTGGAAGGACAGAAGCAGTACGTTAATTAAAAATTCTCATTGCCTGTAGCACGAATGCTCCATTTATTCTTTTTGGATGCGTTAATCGTTATGTAGCGCGTGGGTCACTCTTTAACTTTGTCAATCGACAACTAGCTTGAACGTTAATTTCTCTAATCCTCCATGGCTTTAGGTCGAATTACATAATATGTCCATTGATAGTTTTTTCCTTTTTTCTCCAATTACAGCCGCTTGCTAATGGTATTTAAATTGTATTTTAATGTAATCGAGACAATTAATTAGATTATTAACTTTGAAGGACTAAAAAGATTTGTATTTTAAAGTTTGTCCTTTGACAATTCTATGGTACTTGAAATACCTTAAGTAAAATAATTCTCAAATTTTCGTTAAGGCATTGCTTGCAGAAAATTGATATTGCAAAATTGTATATTAAATTTGTTAATTTTTGCAGCCAACTCTGTCTCCTGCTCAAACTCAAAAAAATGAAGAGCAAATTGCCTTATTGACTGAAAAAATAAATAAACTTGTAGAAGAAGCGGAGCAAAGTGGCATTCAGGGAAACGTGGAACAAGCACAGGGTTTAATGCGGCTTTGTGATCAATTAAAGGAGGAGCGAGAAGCTCTCCGTAAATCAAATGATAATAGTCACTACAACCAGGTGAATGACTCTAACTGGGTATGCTCTTAAATTATTTTATTTAATAACTCAATTCGCAATAGATTCCTTTTTTTTTTTTTCTTTCTTTTATCTCCTTTTTATTTGCCCTGTTTATTTCGAAAGACCGTTAATATACAACTCATTATATTATATTGTCTTAATGAAAAGTTAAATTATAGAGCATATCCATTTAAGAACTGATAAACTTTGTAAGATTGATTTAATATTTAATAATACTCATAATTATTTTAGACCGCAGAATTAGCTGCTGCACAAGAAAAGCAAATGGAAGTTTGTGACGTTTGCGGTGCATTTCTTATAGTGGGAGATGCTCAGCAAAGAATAGATGACCATTTAATGGGAAAACAGCACGTTGGATATGCTAGATTAAAGAGCGCTTTAGAAGAAATTATTGTAAGATTTGAATATCATTGTATGAATAAACATTATAAAAATATAAACATCGATATCTTTTATAAATTACCATTTTTTGTAGACTAAACGTGAGAAAGCCAGAGATGAAAAAGAACAAAGAAGAGAAGAGGAGAGGAAAAGGGCAAGGGGTAACGATGATGATAGAAAGAAAAGAGATGATCGTGACAGAAGTGACAGAGACAGAGACAGGGATAGAGATCGCGATAGGGACAGAGATCGAGAGAGGAATAGAGAGAATAAGGACAAAGACAGAGATAGGGACAAACGCCGAAGGCGCGATGAAGAGAAAAGGCATGATCCATCACATAGGTGCCGTATAATGATTTTATTCTTTTACTTTTAGAGAGTGTTAATTAGCAAAATCTACGTTGGTTAATTTAGTTTTATCAATAGTGTACTTTCAAGTTATTTTCAAACATTGATATTAAAATTCGTAATACTTTCGATGTCTAAACCTCTTTCAACTTTAAAATGCACTGTACATTCAAAGTAATTCCAGTATATATATAATTTATGTATTAATGTAATGAAATATCAATGAATTTGAAAAATTATATTTTGCATTTGCATTTATTGTAACACTAATTGTAAAATTAATTATAATTTGAACTATATAAATGATAAAAAGGTTTATATTTTTTATTAAGAAACACAAATATTGATTTTCTTATGTACTTGTAATTTTCCGATGCTTATTAAGTAGTATGATAATTATTGCTCATAAGAAATTTGTTATCGAAATATTGAATTTTTTTTTAATCTTTGAAAAAGGAAAAAGGTTGTTTTATTATAAGATAGAATAAGACTTTAATTATCATACGTAGTTTACATATATTATAATACGTTTTTAAGTTGTATGTTTTTTTTTATTTTTATAGAAATTCTAAGCATAGAAGTAGAAGTAGATCTAAAGATAAACATGATAGACATAGAGACGAGGATAGAGAACGCCGTCATAAAGATCGAGGTAAAAAGAACTTAATAAAGTATTTAAATTTGAGCTTCATTTTCTATTGAAAGTTGCTTCTTATTAGAAGTTGTTTATTATGTAACTATTTGTTTTAGGTAATCATGATCATCGCTCTACTTCAAACCACCAAAATCGCAAACGACACCGATCCGGAAGTAGAAGTCACAAGTAACTACTCTTGATTGGTTAGTGATTGAGCAAAAATTCAGGTATGCACTATACAATTTATTATTAACGTCTCAATTACTGTACAGATTGTTTTGTCAGGTAAGTTTCACTAGTTGCACCTTATACATGAGTAATGATTGTGACCTCATCATTCTTGTTTTTTTCTTTTTTTCTTTTATTTTTTTCAGTCAAATCACGATTTTATGACAGTAATACTTAATGCGGTTTATCTCTCGGTTTCGCATTAAATTCATATTGCTAGTCCATTAAAAAAAAATTGAAAACTAAAGAAATTGGATGTACTATATTTCTTAACAGTTGATTAAAAAAGATGAAAAAGGATAAAATGATCATTTGTAGATGTTGAGACGTTAAAAAATTATTAGAATATTAAATATGCAGAGCAAGGTAGGAGAAGGTATACCTACACTTGCTTTGGGTCGAACATAATGTATCTTTAGGTTGTACACAAATTTTTTATAAACTCCAAGGACAGCGTAGAGTATTTTTATTGAAAAAAGTTAGTGATTTAATGGAGGAATCAGAGCCTACTTCCGTAAACCTGCCTCGACAGTGCCCTGCGTGACTGACTATACAATCCTAGCTTCTGCTACACATTTCAGAGGTATTTATGGCGGAATGATAATACCAGAACATGGCCTCTTTTAAAAAAAAAAAAAAAAAAAAGATGTTAAAAATATAAAAATGAAACAACAGCTCTTTATTTCAAAGATGAATAAAATTTATTACTTCAAAATGATTGATAATTTTTAAATTAATTATTCCATAGTTTTGTTGAATTTAATAGGATTATCTATAGAAAAAATAGCTTACAACTTAAAGTTTACGAAAGTGGGTACTTAGAATGATAATTTAATAATTTAATTTTATAATTTTAATAAATAGGACAGGGCATTCATAATCATCAATCATTACGTTTTTATTTCAGCAATGCTTATTTTAGTCTATGAAAAGTTGTAAATAAAAAATGAGATGGTTAGTAGTATATTATCATGATTATTTTTATACAATTGTTATGAAAATGATGTTACAGATTTAAATTGTTTACATCATGAATTCCTATGTCTATTTTACTTAGTGCATAATTTTTATAGCATAAATCATTGATACAACGAGTGACGCTCCGCCTTCGCGTCTAATCCATCTATTATTAAGGAAAAATAAGTGAATCGAGAGTCAAATATACAAACATATTTTTGTGAATTATAAGTAGAAGTAGGTTTATAATAGTTTCCTATTAGTGCACCGTCCTAGAAGCACAAACTATTGATATTGTAATTGTTATTTGATTTGCGAAGGTGAGTTTATCTGAACTTTATGAAAAATCATCTAAATGAAAAGTAGATGTATAAGATAGAAATAATTATACATCACTATTAATTAAGTAATTAAATAAACGTTAATACAAATTTTGTAATTAGGATATTAAGTTTATGCAATCAATAATATTAAAGCTAAAAGTGAAATATAGATATTATATAGTTGCAAAATATATTACAATTTTATATAAAATCGATTTAATAATATTTTTACTTTTTTTCTCTTGTTCTATTCTGTCCATAAAAGGTAAAAAGCCTAAAACGGAATATTTCAGCATTTGAGTCTAATATGTCTCGTATGAGATCCACATAAAAAAATATTAGTAAAAAGAAGTCTATTTGCCTGAAGTTTCCAAAGTAATGAAAAATAAGTTCTACAAAAATTTGGAAAAAAAAATTACTCTTCGCCTATAATAATTTTCGATTTTGTATCCTATTATATTTTTCTTAACATTACAGTTAAATTATGTATGAAAGATTGAAATTTTAAAAAATGACACTTTATTTTCTGAAATTAACTTTGCTTAATGTGATAAAAAAATCTTAAATAATAATTAAAATAATAACTTTTCTATTTCATAAATTAGACTATTTTTATTAATATCTTTTTTTTTAAATGTTTTATAGGTCCTCTATTAATACAAAGAATAGGCTTAAATTCTGTGTCAAATTTTGAACTTTTTTGTATACATAATTATGTGCCTAACAAGTTGTCATAGCATATTTTAGCCTTTACTTTCACATTGCGAATTGTTTATTTTCAGGACGAACGTTTGCAGACGGATAATGTGAGAATCGTATGCCATTTGTGAGCAAGGAGAGACGTGGCTTAATGTACTATTTAAGGTAAAGATTTTCCATAATACGGTTTGAGATTTTCAAAGTGAATTTTGTATTGGCAAGATCGTCGACGATCAAACGGGAGTTGGACGCCGTCTTAATCAATTTTGGAAACCAAATGCGCAATTTTCCTTTATATTCAGTCAATTCAGATATACGTATTTACGTGTGTGAATTACGTAATCATTTTACGCATTGGCAACATGATAAATTATTTATAAATTGTACTTTTGTTATTAAAATAATTCTAATTCTGTAACGATGGTAAATAAATTGTTTATTATCTGAATTGTAATAGTTGGATGATCTTGTTAACATTGATTAAATAAAGCATTCTGAAAATTTTTTAACGTTTAAATTCTCTAATAATATAAGCACTGAAAGATCAGACAATGGAAAAATGTGAGTTGTAAAAACCAATATATAGTTTTTGTGTAAACGATAAATAAAGAAGTCTTTGAACAAATTGACCGTTTGCAAATTATTTGACTAAAATCTTCGAATTAATATATTGTTTAAATATCGAAAATGAACAATATTTATTAACTTAAAAAAATAAAGATTCAAATGTTGTTTTTGCATTAAATAAAAAATAGTATACCAAACCTTATTTTTTGTAACAAATAATTTATTAAATATAAATATTTGCAAATAAATGTATGCATATTCAACACTATTATCTAATACATATAATATATAATTGAATTTTATAATACACAATAATCTAATAATTTAACCACTCCTAATACTGCAAATGGTATAAAAGTTTGTTTCTAAATAATATACAATTTTATGCTAATCCTACAGATAGTGTAATTTGTTCATATACAGTCCATGCCATAGCAGTCATTAAAGTTCTTCTTATCATGCGAGGTACTATACCTTCAAAGTACCCAAATATTCCAAATTTAGAATACATAAAGAAGAATGTACTTCTTAAATTCTTGTATTTATCAGGGTATAGTTGCATCTTTGTTTTAATTACATCTGCAGGATGTGTAATTAAAGAAGCAAGAATACCAGCTGTCACTCCACAACCAAAGTGAATAGTTAATAGATCACCATATCGAGGGAATTCTAAAAAAAAAATATTTTAAAAGATTACAGTTTAGTATAATTACATATTTTATAATTTCAATTTAAGCTTTCATAAAACATTAGAACCTCTTTTTACATTAAAAGATTTACAACTTATTAATCATTAGATATTTTGAAAAGAATTATTTCCTTACGGTTAGAAGTTAGTTTTTTTAGTTCTGTATAAAACATTAGGTATAATCCACTGTATGGTGCATCACGCAATAGAGTTGGAACAAGCCCGCTTGAAAGTCCTTTAATACCCTCGTATTTATGAATCAATCTAAGAGCTTCTCTTATGCTGTTGTATTTATATACCCCACTCTATGAAGAAACATATTCTTAATATATAATAAATAAAATCGAGATATATATCAAATACATGCTATTTATAGATTCTGTATTAAATAATGTAACTTGAGACTGGTAAGTATTTGCGTGCTATAATTTTTCAGATTTGCAATACCTCGTATCTTGTCTTGATAACTGTTATTGGAATTAATATGACTCCGGATATAGTTCTTGCTGTAATTCCCAATGTAATTGCTTGGAAAGGCGTGAGTGGCTCTCTCAAAGCTAGTGAACTTTTTAGCCAATATAAAGTCGAAAAGTATAATCCAACTCCTGGAATTACTCTGGTCATTGACTAAAATAATAATACTCATCAATGTTGAGTTCATTAATATTATATTTATTGAAATGTGTCAAAAGCAATACATACAGGTGTTATACCCCTCCATAATCCAAAAATATTTTCCTTCTGAACAATAGAGACTATAGTTGTTACCATACTATTTCTTTGATATCTATCATGATGTGCTTTAGTCTTAATATTTTGTGAAACATAATTTAGAATCCGATTTAAAAATAACTATTTACTTACCCTACATGATTGTTTACTCTATTTTGAAGTCTTGTCTTGATTAGATCAAGTGGTTGAAATAAAATTGTTGAAAAAGTACCAGAAAAAGAACCAACCAGAAATGATTTCAATACAGGATACTAAAAATGTATTCTTTTAAGTATGTAATAAATTGGAAATCAAATTAATTAGTATTGTAGCTAATGCAATTGTTATGTATATATATATATATATATATGTATGTATATACAAATTTTTTTTATCAAATATAATAAAAAAATTAGTATATTTAATATCAAACATGAAATGCCTCACGTGATCTATATAGTACGAGAGAAAGAGGTCAGTTCAGTAGGTTTTATCTTTAACATGTTTTCCTTGGGGGTCTGATTTTATTAGACGGTTATTGCACAAAGAACTTTTAGATGAAATTAACAAAAATATTAATTTACCATATAACTGGTATTTATTGTTATTTATTATAAATTAATATACAACTGAACAGAAGGATTTGATATTATTTTATTTAAATTTTCAATTTCAAGATTTAATCTATACATACAATTTATTTATTTATTTTAATTAATCTTAATTCTAATAAATTTTTAAAAATTAATTACATGACTAATAGATAATTTAATATTTAAGTTACAATAATTTATTAAGCTAAGTTTCTATTATATATATCATTTATATTTTTAATTGTATATTTAATTGATATTCTTGACACTTATTGTAAGAGTAATCTAGTAAAGTAATGAAATTAAATAATATTTCATTTGAAGTTAACGAATCTAGCTATTATACCTCAAGATTTGATATTATATAAGTAATTACTATAAACAAAATATTTTACACTATTTTTAACATTATTTGTACATATAATTTCAAATTTATTAATGTAATTAATATTTAATCCATATAATTATGAGATATACTCACTCCTCCTGTTTCCATTTTTTTAATTCAATTTTAATAATATTCAAAATAAATATCCAACATTATTTATGTGCCAACTCTTTTATAATTAATTAATATACAAATTCAATTTCTTTAATATCCTTTTTAACACATGATAGAATACTGACTGCAGTTCTTAAAGTCTTGTGTAGTAACTTACATTTATATTAATCGTTGTTTCTTCACTTTTGAGGTCAATTGGATCACACTGCATATCAAAATGTGCTGCTATAAGAAATTACTGATATCGCAAAGTAGAAACGTGATTTAAACGTGAGGTTATTAAAGCAATTTATATATACTAATATCAACAAAACGTTTTTATTCTCTAATATCAATGCTAAATGTATAGTAAAAAAATAGCTTAAAAATATAAATTAAAAAAAGTGGATGTTCTTATGGTTTATAATCATTTTAAAGAATTTGAATTATAATACTTATCAATTTTTACTCTACAATTTTACATTTATAAATATAATTAATTACTTGATGGAAATTCAAAAATATAAAAAATTTACAGTTTTGTAGGTTATGTAAATAAAAGTTTCCATCAACATTATAATCTATTCAAGAAGATTACGAAACTAAATGTCACTGAGTAGTTATGAACAAACGTTCGATAAGCAAGATAAATGCGCTACATTGTTTTTGTAAATGCAGATAAAAGTTTCGAGATAACTACGTAATAGATGATGCTAATATCAGAATCATTTTAGGGTCGAATTAATTTTGTTTTGTGAACTTTCTTAAATTAAATCGTCATTTATCTATATTGCCATACAAATGTAAATACTAATTAATAGCATGCTATTTTACATTTATTATTATTATAAAAAATTGTTATTGACAAACGACAATAATTGATAATCGAATTTTCTTGTGAGTTTTATTTAATGATTTTAATTATCAGAATAATTATAATAGTCTCTTATTTTAATATTACAGCACATGCTAATTTATCAAATATACAATAATCTTTTGTTTTAATACTTATGCAAAGTTGAATAAATAAATTAATCGATTATATCATCGATCATCGATTATACATAAATTGTATATATATATATATTAGACATTGAGTATATATTTAACTTTTTTTTTATTATTGTTGGGTAATTATTAAGTAGAACAAATTAATAACGAAACCAGGCAACCTATATTCGTCTTTGTCGTAATCGAAAATCTTGTATTACTAATACGCATAAACATATTTATGTCACGTAATTACATAATTTCAAATTAATGATCGAATAAAACATCTCGTCATTCCGGTGTCATACGAACTCTTGTTTTGTATTCTTTCTTAGAATAATAAATTTATCTTTATTAAATAAATATTACAATATATCATATATTTAAAACTATTATATATATTAAATTTTCAATTTAATAAATTAATTAAAGCGTCTATTTTTTAAAAATAATTTTACAATTTTATCAAAAGAGACGGTACTTCCGGCGCTCATGATAATACTACGGCCAACACAATATTTTATATCTATTATAAGCCGTATCAATTGCGTTTATGGATTACACATAAAAATTTATATCTCATCTTCCAACTCATTCGTATAATTTACAGATTATTGTCTGCTAATTTTGCTATCATTTCGGTTTCTCGGTCATAAAGCTCATAATGGTTATTCGCCTTTTTCTCCTTTTTAAAGTGCAATCCAATTAGAAATCGCACTTCCAACTCCAGACTTCATTCCAATTGCCGTAGTCTAGGCTTTCCATCCGCGACCGGAACTCTACGAAGCGAATAAGGAATATTTCAATCATCATTGCCCTCGATTCGTCCAATATTTTTTTATCAAGAATTTTCATCGGCCTTCCATAATTAACTCCATCACTTAATTCTCGCCTCAGCCCATCTGTATCTTGAAAATCTCAGGAAATTTGCATAGAGCGCGAATACGCCAACCAATCATTGTAGCTTTGACTATCCCAAATAGAATTTTAAAACCATACGATAAAATGAAATTTGCGTCGCCGATTAGAGTGGCGCTGCAATCTGAACACGAGGAGGTGCCGGAAGACGGAAACGTAACGGTCGTTCATTTCTACACTGTCCGGGGATCCGTGAGGAGTGCTCTGGTTGTTAAAAATTGGTAAAATAATTTGTAAATTTGTATTTAAACACGTTTTTTGCTAATTTTTTTTTTATTATTCTCGAGAGGATGAGTTTGCCTAAGGGTTTTCAATTTAATTTTTTTTTTTTATTTTTTACTTATGAAATAGGGAATTTCGGATAATAATGCTTTTATGGAGGGCAAACGCATGGTCGATAGTTGAATCACGTGTTGATGAAATTAATTTCTCATAAAATAAGCTTTTATATTCGGACTATTTAGTTTTGTGAGCGAATTAATCGTATATTTTTTTTAATATGGCGTTTTAAGATGTATGTCGTATAATTAGTATTTTTTGTTTTTTAGATTTTTAGGTTAATTTATAAATTTAACGCTATTTAATGCAGTTTTATATTTGTACTGCAATAGTAAACTTTGTTCTACTGTTTTAAGAATAATTTGTTTGAATATTAATAATACGTATTAAGTTGGATTACCTATTATGATTTTTTGTACTTTTTAAATATGTTAGGTTATGGTTTTTATGGTACTGATGATCTAATTGTAATTTGTTAAAAAATAATTTATTGAAAATTACAAATGTTTACATTTATATGTTAAGTAATTATAGAAAACTGTTTGGCAAATTTATAATAGTAGATATACTAAGATAAATTTTTTTTTGATAAAATTCTAGTTTAATAGAAGATAAACGTAATAAGTCAAATTATTAGTACAATTTTTAAATATTCTAAATTTAATAGAACAACCATGGTTAACGGGCGAATTCCGTCAGTCTTTTCGAAGACATATGTCACCCCTAGAAGACCGTACGAAAAGGCACGTTTAGATCAGGAGTTACGTATTATTGGAGAATACGGACTGCGTAACAAACGTGAAGTATGGCGGGTCAAATACACTCTCGCTAAGATTCGTAAAGCTGCTCGTGAACTTCTTACGTTGGAAGAGAAAGATCCTAAACGTCTTTTTGAAGGTACAATTACCTAATTCTAATTCTTTGTATTTAAATTTAACTATTTTTAAAATGATGAGTTTCAATTAATTTCTGACACCTCTTATCTGAATATACTTTGAATAAAAATTTAATCTGAAAATTGATTAAAGAGTACAATTATCATAGTTATTGCTTTGCTTTGTGAATCATCGCTGATTGCTTGTCTTCACAGGTAATGCTTTATTAAGACGACTGGTTAGAATTGGAGTACTCGATGAAAGTCGTATGAAGCTTGATTATGTACTTGGTCTGAAAATTGAAGATTTTCTGGAAAGACGTTTGCAGACTCAAGTTTTTAAGCTTGGGTTAGCTAAATCCATTCATCATGCTAGGGTTCTCATTCGTCAAAGACACATAAGGTATATATACTTAATAAATATGAAATGTGAACACGCCTTATTGTCTGGGCAAGGAATCTCTGATAATATGCAGAAGATTTCTAATCATTAAGGCAAAATTAATTCCTGGGTTAATCATTGAATAAATATTATTATTTGTTCAATTTCAAGACAGGATACAGATTGATAAAATTCTTCATTATTACAATTAAAATTGTAATCGTATAGTATGAAATTCATAAATTTTATCAATGTTTTAGTATCATACCTGATTGATCAGTCGAGTGCATCTAGAAGTATCGATGCATCTTCGCACTTGAATGAATTTAATGAAATTTTTTCTTTCAAACAGGCCACTTAAGTGATAAATAATATTTAGCACTTAATGTCTGATTTAAGCACTGGAATATTAATTAAAAACTAAAATTGGTACAGTTTTAGATATTCTTACATTAATGCCCATTCTGGCATTTAATAATATATTAAATAGCAAGGATTTTTATATACGATCAAATTATATTTACAGAGTCCGTAAACAAGTTGTGAATATTCCATCGTTTATTGTACGATTGGATTCACAGAAACACATTGATTTCTCTTTGAAATCGCCATTCGGTGGTGGCCGCCCTGGTCGCGTAAAGAGGAAGAACTTACGTAAAGGAACTGGTACAGCTGCTGTTGAAGAAGAAGAAGATTAAACTGTACGATGAGTTTTGAGTTCAAATTTTGAATAAAAAATTCAAAGATTATGTCTTGCATTTTTCATTTTATTTCATTAAAAATAGAAAATTAAGTAATATGACTATAAATTAAAATAATTATGTACAATTTATATACATACATTATAGGTGAGCAATCATTGTTAGAAATATTGATTCGTTTTGTGATGTTAAAAATAAGATTATATGAACAAATTTATAATAGATTACTTTGTTATGATTTTTTTGTTTGTATTAGAAATCCAAATTGTACTGGAAACAAATATTTCTAAAGTAGTTTTTTATTTTCTAAATTATTGTTTTAATAAAATAATTAAATAATACATTATGAAATGTAATTTTTAATTATCTTAATCTGATAGTCTGTAGCAAATCTTATAATTTTTTTTACTTTTGATATTAAATTCCATTTATTACATAATGAATATTTTGTTTTCTAATTGCGATTGTACATACTTATTTTGTTTACAATTTTATCTTATGGTGATGGGGTAATATTTAGTATATTAATTTAATTTCAACGATATAATGTTTTTGATGCATTGTCTGTTGAAATATATTTTTAAGATAAGTTGTATAATCCGTTAAGTAATATTTCCTTTTTTTTTATTATAAAATTATACATTGCAATCCATAAATGGATAATAACGTGAGATATATCATACGAAGGACACGTATAAACTTTAGGAAATTTATATTTATAAATAATTATTAATAGAGTTTCTGATGGACGACTATTAAACGCTAATTCAATTTTTGTCTTACCTTAGATAACAAATGATGTCCAAAAAATTAATTTATGAAATAATTTCTTTATAGTTTGAAACATAAGTGTTTTATTAAATATAAATTCATTATCTTAATTAGCCTTATGTTTATAATATTTAAAGTCAAGTATTTATTAAAAGTTATTAAACAATTAAGAAAGTAGACCCTTTTTATTTACGTTAATTTACTTTCTTAATAAAATATAACTTAATGGTAAATATTTTATTATGAGTAATAATTTTGTAATAACGATTGTATGAAAAATTTGAGGTAAATTCACGACTAGGAAATTATATATTAGACAATGATTGATAATCAATTAGACCAACATTTATTAATAGAAAATATTACGTCAATTATGCAAGAAAACCTTAATTGTTCTGTAATAAATACTGAGTAAATATAAAAGAAAGAACAATAAAAGTAGTAACGAATAATATAAGTAAAGAAATTGGAAGAGCAATACTAACCACAGGTAGACCATAGTCATTAGAAAGTTGAGTCTATGTGGTCGTTCGATTAACACTGTTGTATTTCAACTAGCCGCACAGAAGAAATTTAAAAACGCAAAGAGGAATATTATCAACAGGACGACTGTATTTATCAATAATAGAGAGTACGGAGACAAACTTTTTACGGGATATAATTTGAGAATGTTCATTATCGATATTTGCCTTGTTTTGTTATTTGATAGATAGCGGGTAGAGTTTAAATTCTATTTAGAGAGAAACAAGTAATTTATTCGGTCTACACTATGTTTATTACGATCAATAGTAATGTATTTGCATAATATATTTCTAAATATTTAAAGAAAAATTTGGTAGAGTCAAAAATATTAGCCCGAAATTAGAATTAGCGTGCCAGCCAGGTCTGCTTACATTTTTCTTCGGATCATTTGTTTTTTTGAAAATGTTGAAATTGGGAATTCCAATCGTAACGAAGTTTTTTTTATTGCGAGATAATTAAATTTTGTTTTGCGTGATTGTGCTGTATTACAAATTAGTTTACAAAAATGATCAAACACAAATTAAAAAATGTACGTAGATGTCAGTTTAACTGTCGTGTTTTATAAATTTCGTTATTTTAAAATGTTTTATAGGCATTAAATAAATTACTTATAAATTTATTTGAAAAAAAATTTTTATGAACGAAAAAGTTTTCATAATTTTATATAGATTCGAAGATTAAAAAATTCATATATTCGTAATCTAGTATTATAACACATTTTATAAGAAGTTTTTTAACGTATTAGTTGGTAAAAATAAATACATTTTTCAATATTTATTTATTACATACAGTTGTCATCAATAATTATAATATAATAATTAATAATTAAAACAAAGCTTCGGGAAACGGTTTACTTTTTTTACCCTAATTTATTCGCTTTCTTTAATTGTATTTATATTTATTTTAAATGACAGATCGAGCAATAAAATCATTTTTGGTATTTATTGCTTTTCGATATACAATTATTATTTACAGCCGTATAAGAGAAAATTTATATAAAAGAATAAAGTTTCATTTCACATATCTTCCGATATTTAGCTTCTTACGGGCATATGAACAGAACCATAATTTATTAGATCTTCGTAAAAAATGTCAACAAGTTTAAGCGTAATAGAAAAAAAAAAGATTGAATAGTCTGTGCCAGTTAAGCGTATTTCATTAGTAATTGTTGTACATCGACAGCCACGGGATATAAGCCTGTATGTATGACATAGAGAATTATTATGATATAAAAATGTGTATAAGTGAATTGAGATGCAAACGGGAAGGAATGGACAGAGGTTTGAATCCTTTTTGTTCATATCGTTATTCTTTCCGAAGCTTCTGTCAAAGATTTCTATCACGGTTGTTCACGGTCTTCCTTATTTTTTTCCAACTTATTAAATTGCAAAGGCTTATTTTTCTCTCCATTGAATGAACTTAATGGACTTATAAGTATATATAAGGAAGACCTTTTTTTTATGATACATAACTTGATTGTATTTTAATATTCATGCAGAAAAATTGATGGCAATTCTTTCCTTACAAATTTGCTTTAAATGTAATATGCAACTCTCATTCAATTTCTATAATTTCAATTTAAATATGTATTTGTATTGAAATACCTAGTCATTGTACATTTTGAATTCGATGTATATATTGTTTACAAAATATTTAATTATGTTTCTTAAATTGCCTTTTATTTGATGATTATATATTATAATAAATTAACAAAGAAACACGCTCTTCTATTGTATTTTAACATAATGATTAAATTTTATAAAATATTCGTATGATATTTCTCTTTCGTGATCTTATACAAACTATGTATGTAAAGCCTCTTTTTTCCGAATAATTAGCTATCAAATGTATTTAATAATATTTCATTTTTAATATAAGGATATTGGAATTTGTAATACAAATTATTATGTAAATACATTTGCAATCTATGTTAAATTTATAAATACATATTTTGCTACATATTTTACAAAATGTTAAAAAAATAATTCTGTTCCAGATTGCGAGAATCTTTCCCAGCTGATTAAGCATTTGCAAAACAAGTCGTTAGACTTCGGGAAAGTCCAATTAATTAAGTATCTGGAAATAGTCGTTTCACCTAAAATTTTAAAATCTAACTGTATAAACTCGCCTCCACTATTATCAAGTCTAGCCATGCTGTCGCTAGAGGCGCGTCAAGAGCGTTCGAGTCGGGAGCTCCTCTTGGCGGGAAGGCCAAGCGAAGACTGAGCTTCTTGATTGAAGGCGCTGCAACTAGAGGCGCTACTGAAGCCCTCCATATAGAGATACCGAAGTCGAAAGCACTCCGATTGGATAAAAAAAAGGGAAGGGATCCCAAATGGACACCGAGCTCAACGAAATGTATTTAAGAAGAACCACCACAAGATTCGAGCACTCAAGTTGAAGTCCTCAAGGAAAAAGGAGTTAGGAGCTCCCTCAGTAGAGTGCAAAGCCAAGTCTAAGTTTATAACCGCAGCACAACTCAAAGGCATCATAGCGATCAACTTCAAATGAAGGTCTATCCAGGATACAGTATCAACGAGCATACTTCAAGGATTAAGACCGCTAAGAAAAGTACACGCAAACCTTATACTAACTAATTCTACGAGTCATTCAACATATGCATACATCATGAGTTGGGTGCCGCCCTGCATAGTTTTGAGATGGACATGAGCTATTAAGGGATTTGTTAATTGTGATTGACGCGGCAGAATTGCCGGGTGCTTGTGTTCGTATGCCAAAAATGATTTCATTAATCTTCCTCTAACTCGAATGATGCCGTGGGGGTCGATGTACGCGGTCGAGCGATGGAATGCATGTGTATGCGGTAGGCTCGTTTATTATTCAAGTGTTTTGAGTTCATGAGACAAGAAGGC